TCGAATGCACTTTGAATGATGCAAATCGGCCGAGCCGTTTTCGAGAAACATTTGTATCGTTAATGAGTCACGCGTGGAGGTTTATATTTGCTGGAATACAATAAATGTACATTACACGTGCTAGATATAAAGCGACTTGTATCAGAGCACCTTTGCATCTCACGCATACAAAATTGTATACAGGCACATACAATCATACAGTGACCAGTAACATAACTGACCCCGCCCCCTAATGTAGGCAAAGTGTGGTTGAGTTCTAAAATGAAGCATAACTTGTCAACGGCAACACATAGGGAAGTGAAACAACCATACTATCGTGCTCAGGGCAAAAAAAAGATTTTGCAAACCTGTCTACTGACATCAGCAGCCACCCACTCAGTCCTCTTACCCTGTGAGTTCATTAAAAACGCTCAAGTATATTGTATAATATTTTATAAAAAGTAATACTGACAAAGCCATACAGTTTTGCCAAATGTTTTACAAATACCTTTATACAGCCGTATACAATCACCTCTGTATACACATTTACTGTCAATGTTTTTTTCCCCGGGAATGGACAAGTGAGTGCAAGATACAGATCAGCGATCCCAGTTTAACAATCAGTGGGCCCGGCGTCGCCGAGTCTCGACGTAGACGACCACATCCACACCTCAGGCAGAACGGCTGCATACGCAGCGGGCGCCGGGTGCATCGGCGTCGCCCCCACCCACTTGTCCCGAGTTAGCGCTGCGCGGGTCGCGCAAGGCAACGTCAGCGTAACAGTGTTTCGTGAGATATCGCGAAGCCTGTTACGCGAGACGTGGTCTGGCGTACATCTACCTAGTAATTCTAAGTGGACATCCCCTTTTGGACTCCAAACAAAGAAATCACACTTGTCAAGGTTCAGAATATCCAAGGACATTTGGACTTGGTAGTAATATGGATGTTGTTTCTTCAGTTGTACCTTGCCACCACCATCACAATACAAGTAAAATTCCGAAGTTTTTTCAGTGGCAATTCACTCTGGAAATTCCTTATATTCAGTGCCTTAAAATTTTAAGGGCATTTAGCCTCAAACAATGTTGGCATGCCCCATGAATTGTTGACTAGGCCGTCTGGACTGCACCCCAACATTGGATGCTTTCCACTGATGTACAGTCCCACCTCTTCAATTGTCACACCTGGATCAACCTCTTTTCTTTTTTGTACGAATGCAGCTCTGGCGTTGGGCTCATTATCAGTTGCCCACTTCATTGCTTTTGTGGTGAATCTACCTATCAAATACATATTTCTTTTCAGGTAGTTCATTTTTGCTGGGCGGCTACTCAGAGTGAGGAATTGTTTGGCCACTAAAGCGGTGATGATAATGCTTCTTCTTCGTAGCCACTGCAGGTTAAAGGATTGGCCTTCT